GCCACAAGAAGGGGATCCGAGGCTCTTAAACAGGACAATGTCATGCCCCTGTTGCTTTAGCTCCCTTCTTAACCGCTGGCTGGGTGCTACAGCAGTGGCTGAGGAGGTCTGCAGGGTGTGAAACACCCCCAGGGCACTGGGTCTGCTCGGGGAGGTGAGGGCTGAAAGGTTCTGTCGCCTCCTCCCACCTCACTCTGCCTTTGACAAGTGGGACCTTGCAAGCTCATCGCATCTTACAACGGGGAAAGAGGGGACCCAGCACAGGCAGGGAGGGCAAGGGGGGTGCATGACCCCCCCCAGTGCACACTGCACCCATAATAATGCTGACAACTAAACCATTTCCTTGCCATGAACGTTGTTCCTGGGGTTTACAGAATTCATTGGTTGAGTTCAGGGTTTGGGCAACACGAGGCAAGAAAAAGGTCTCGTTTCATGACAAGAAAGAGAAGGGATGAGGAGGCAGAGCTTCACCCAGCCCTGGCCGCATGCAGGTTAATGGTTGGGAGCCCGAGTCCATCCCCTTACCTGGCGCGTGGAGCTGACACCATCCCGCTGCCTGGTCCTTGGCTCCCGGTTTCCCTGCATCCAACCAGTTCAGGCTGGGCACTGGCCACGTCTGCTGTGCCTCCGGTTGCTCTTTGGGACATCCCAAAGCTCTCAGGTGGCTCCTTGCAAAAGGAGGGAACAGAGATCACAAACTGAGGAGGGGAGGAAACAAGGGAGGGATGAGGGGAGATCGCATGGGGAGAAAGGCACGGCTGGTGGCACCAGAGCTCGGCCGTAGTGCGTTGAGAGGGGACCCACCATGAGCACAATGGCCGAGCCCATTGCCCTGGTGCAGCCACGGGCTTGCTGGTGGCATGGGGCAGGTCAGGGCATCTCGGTCCCTGTGTTCTGTAATAACAGGGGTTCAACTTCATGGAATCACAGAATCACAGAGTAGTTTTGGTTGGAAAGGACCTGAAGATCATCCAGTTCCAACCCCCCTGCCATGGGCAGGGACACCTCACACTAAACCATCTTACCCAAGGCCTTGTCCAACCTGGCCTTGAACACTGCCAGGGATGGAGCATTCACAACCTCCCTGGGCAACCCATTCCAGTGCCTCAGCACCCTCACAGGAAAGAATTTCCTCCTTATATCCAATCTAAACTTCCCCTGTTTCAGTTTGAACCCGTTACCCCTTGTCCTGTCACTACAGTCCCTAATGAAGAGTCCCTCCCCAGCATCCCTATAGCCCCCTTCAGACACTGGAAGCTGCTCTGAGGTCTCCACGCAGCTTCTCTTCTCCAGGCTGAACAGCCCCAACTTCCTCAGCCTGGCTCCATACAGGAGGTGCTCCAGCCCCTGATCATCCTCGTGGCCTCCTCTGCACTTGTTCCAACAGTTCCATGTCCTTTTTATGTTGAGGACCCCAGAACTGCACACAATGCTCCAGGTGAGGTCTCAGGAGAGCAGAGCAGAGGGGCAGGATCACCTCCATGACCTGCTGGTCACGCTCCTTTGGATGCAGCCCAGGACACGGTTGGTTTCTGGGCTGCGAGCGCACACTGAAGCCGGCTCATGTTCATTTTCTCATCCACCAACACCCCCAAGTCCTTCTCCTCTGGGCTGCTCTGAATCTCTTCTCTGCCCAACCTGTAGCTGGGCCTGGGATTGCTCCGACCTGGGTGTAGGACCTTGCACTTGGCTTGGTTAAACTTCTTCTGCTTGTGCTCCTTTTGAGGCTTCACCCCCTGAAACCCACAGGAGGCTCAGACAGAAACAAACACACGTGGAGGCCTCCTGCAGCAAAATCACAGCAGATCCAGATCCAGATCCATCCCAGCAGCATCACCGGTGCCACCATAGGAGGTGGTGGCTGTGGCAATGGCTTTGTCCTGAGCCATGGGTCCTCTCTCAGGTCACTGTCACCCCAGCCCAGCTGAGCACAGCGTGCTTTGCCCTGGGTGCTTCAGCTCCTTCTCTGCTCCTGCTCGTGGGCATTTTGACCTCCTCAGCCTCCCCTCTGCTTCCCCTCTGCAGCCGGTGCTCTCCACCTCCATCATCTGCCCATCCTTGGGCCTGTGCGGAGCGCAGGATGAGTCCCGGCTCACAGAGGATCACGACCAGCAGAAGGAAGCCCACAATCAGAGGACAGAGAGATGCCTGCTCAGAAGAAGGTCAAATCGGGGCCTTCCTGGAGCGGTGATGGGTGAAGGCACCCACGTTCAGCGTGCGTTACACTGAGCATCCAAGCGACGCGGGAGGGCAGGGGGTGAAGGACCCCCACCTCCAAACCAAAAACGTGCAGGCAGAGAGGGAATTTACCTGTCCTGTAACCCAGCACCACGGTGGGGGGACTCTGCTCCGGCGAGCAGGATTGCACCCGCACCGCTCACATCCCCTCTGCATCCCCCTTTGCTTTCCTCCAGCAATGCCAGCTCCTCGCCGGGTCAAGGCATGAGCCAGCTCCCTATGACCTCACTAGGAATACTCGCACCGATCCCTTAATCCCGTGTTCATCGTGTACCTATGACGAATCCCATGTTCATCATTCCCCCCCCTGGCGCTGGCTCCACGCACGCCACCACCTTCGCTGCACTGGAGCGTGTCCGAGCGGCTCCCACGGGTGGTTTGGTGGGATGGGGAAGTCCTGACTCATCCCCACACCTGGCTGCAGCTGCAGGCACCCCGGCAGCCCCTGGCACCGACATCCACGTCGCGGGGTGCTTTGGGTTGTTTCTTGCCCTGGTCCTAGGTGTTGAACAGCAGAGGGAAGCACGGCTCACACAGCATCATCCTCTGTGTCCTATCTAAACGCTAGCACAGACTTGCCCCTCAGCCGCAGCTCACAGGGGAAGCAGCCACTACAGTGGTCAGGAAGCTGCCGACTGTTCCTCTTCTCCCTCCTGCCTTTGGAAACTTCCCTATAAACCAAAGGGGGTTTCATCCTCTTCACCTTTCCAACCAATCACCCCTATGATCCCCCCTGAGGTCGGGCTGTGGCTGCTGCTGTGGTCCGGGTGGGAGCTGGTGGGGGATCGCTGCCCTCCAGGGTGCTCCTGCAGGCTGTTCCAGCGCAGCCCCTGTCCTGGAAGCGGAGCAGGATGCTCCTGCCGGGCCCTTTGGATGCTCTCATAAAGGCCCGTATTTACAAGAAAGATTCCCTGCTGCCCCATTGTCTGCGAGGCCAGGCAAGGAGAAACCTCCTGTGTAGAGATCCCAACTCACTCAGCACGGGGGAATCCGGTCTGGGAGGAGAGCGTGGGTAATGGGAGAGGGAAGACCTGGAGAGGGCTCTGGCACTGCTGGTAAGGAGCCCACAGACAGGACCAGTGCCCAGAGCACCGCTGGCCTCGAAAGCCCCCGCAGGGATGCTCCAGCCGCCTGTGCTGGGCTGTACAACACCAGCACCCAGCTCACACTGAGCCATGGCCAGGTCAAAGCGACCCTGGCAGAGCGAGGTAACGGCTGCAGCTCATGGATAAAGCAGCTCAAGGGCAGGGGTGAGATGTGGGGTGTCAGGATCCATCCTGGCTCAAGGCAGAGGTGGGAACAAGGGGTCCCCTCTGCTGCTTGTCAGCCTTTTGCTTCTCTGTCCCGTGGGTGAAGCAACCCAGGACAGTGTCAGGATCCATGCATTGCTCCATCCCCAGAGCCCAACACTGGGGTGAGACCATTGCCAGCCTGGGATGCCCAGGTCCTGCCTGCAGCACGGGTGCAGACAGTGCAAACCCAGGGCTCCAGATGGAGCAGCAAGGATGCTGCCCCCAGGGTCAGCCCCATTCATCCAGCCTGCCGTGGATGAAGAGCTCATGGCAGCAGGAAGAGCCTGTGCTGTGTCTATGGGCAGCAAGGGGAGGATAAAATCCCCTCTTGTGCTCGGTTATGTCCGTCTTCCTCTCCGGAGGGGAAGTGTGGGGCACTTCCAAGCAGCACGTGTTTGGCAGTGCTTGAAACAGCTCCTAACAGGGGAACGCTCCCCTTTCAAGGCACAAACTGTTCCTGGCAGCTACTCACATAAAAAAGAGCTATAAAACCCCAGCCAAGCCCATTCCAGGCACCGGTGGAAGCGCTGGCTCAATCACTGCTGCAGGCTGGGAAACGCACGAGAGCATCACCCTTGGGGAGGTCCCTAAGCAACCTCGACAAGGCATTAAAAGCCCTGCCTGCAGCCAGCATCAGTGCCCCAAGGCACGGCTCTTGGCTGACCAAGCCCCTCTTCTGCTTGCTGCAGGGTCTGGGGACAGCCCTGGTGCTCAGGGTGAAGCATTTGGGTTGCCACTGGTGGCAAATCCCAACGCGGTGGGGCTACATCCTGCTGCTCACAGCTGAGGCTGATGGAGCTGATGGTGGTGGTGCGTGGTCATGGGGTGAAGCAAAGAGAGGGCAAGGGTAAGCGGAGGGAGAAGATGATGGGTCTGGGACATGCAGCAGCATCGTTCTCCTCCAAATGAGACCAGGAAAGGACTCTGGTGACAGAGGATTGTATGATAAAATAACTTCTTTGCCTTGTTTCTTTGGCAAGCTTCTGAGCATTGATTTCTTTACACTCTAACCATCCATTTCTTTAGAAAACATGGTATAAAACTAGGTAGTTTGGAAATAACTTTAAGGCCACCAGTGACTTCAGGAGCATCCTACACCCGAGTGCCTCAGCAGCGAACTCCCTTCTCAAACCCCATGACAAGTGAATCCTCCATGGGAAACCCTGTTAAATAACTAAAGAAACCCCAACAAAACCAGACACCCCCCCCCTCCCCAGAACAAATGACCCTGTCTGCAAGCTTCCCTTCTGATACAGCATTGACCCTTGCTGGGGATGGCCAGCACCCAGCTGGAGCCGCGCTGGTTGATGGCACAGGGATGCTCCCACCCCAGCGGCAGTGCTGCCGAGCAGGACCCATTGCTCATCCCCATCTCTCATCCCCACCGCTGCCCTTGGGGTTTGGGAACATCAATAAATTAACAAAGGCACAGACCCCCAACAACTCAATCCAGAAACCAGCCGGGAAGAGTGCAGTTCGTGTTCTCAGCGCAGGAGGAAGCGCTTGCGGACCTGCTCCTCGATGGAGTGCAGCTTGGCAGTCCTCAGCGCCCGCAGCAGCTCCTTGGTGACCGGGTTCCCCTCTCTGAGGTGGGTGAGGAAAGCCCTGAACTTCTCCTGCATGGCCGCCCGGGTGCCCAATGCCTGCGTCCTCGGTGGCTGCTCCAGGATCTGCTGCAGGCGCTTCAGCTTCCGGATGGGGATGTTCTGGTACGCCACGAAGTCGATCATGGCTTGCTCACAGTCGTCATCGCCTGGAGCTGCTGGGAGGAAAGCATCCAGAGGTTAGGGGCAAGGTGAGGTGGGGCAGCAGGGGAGCAGCTCCCAGCCCTGGCCTCAGGGAGGTGGGAAGTGCCCCAGCCCTGGAAGCATTCAAGGTCAGGTTGGATGCGCCTCTGAGCAACCTGGAATAGTGGAGGATGCTGCTGCTCGTTGCATGGGGATGGGATGGACTTTCAAGGTCCCTTCCAACCCAAAGCAGTCAATGATTCCATGATGTGGTCCTCACCTGGGCATTGCTCTCCAGCCACAGCTTGGACTGGGAGCCCAGTGATGAGGCCAGCCAGGAAACCCGTCTCTCCCAGCCCATCTTCCAGATTTGGGAGGGTATTTTAGCTCCCAGGACCACATATATGATGTGAACACGAGCTGGGACCACCTACTCTGCCCATGCCCAAGGATGCAGCAGCACCTGGCTCACAGCGGCTGCATCCTCTGCCAAAGCCAGGGCTTGCGGTGCGGTGCGGTGCTGGCAGCGTGCGGTGGAACCAGTGGGTCAGAATGGGCATTGTGCAAGTGGAAAAAGTGAGGTTGGAAGGGAAAAGCATGAGGAAAACACCCAATACAACATCATTCCGTGGTCAAGGCCGATCCCTGCGGCTCGCTGCCCGGAGGGGCTGGCGCCAGCCCTCGCTGCAGCCTGCGTTTCCCAGCAGCAGCCCATCCTCTACAGCGCTGTTGGATAACAGCTTGTTTTGGAAGGGCCTGCAAACTGAAACCACCCCGGGCAGCTTCTCCCTGCTCCTCTCTGCGCCGGGAGCATGGGAAAGGGGAACTCCAGAAAGCCGGAGCTCGCTGCCGTCTCTTCAAGCCCGCTCTGTGCCCCGACAGCTTTTCCCATGCGGGTTTTTCACATCCCCGAGGCAGGACCAAGCCCAAGCTCGGCCCCATTGGGGGCTGTTGGAGTCCCCGTTGAAGCGCTGTTGGAGTGCCCCCAAGGAGGGATGAAATCAGTGCTCAGGGGAGCGAAGCCAAACCGTTCCTCCGTCAGGCAGAGACAAGCCCGGTTTCATGCCATTGTGAACTGGGAACGTTTCCTGGGTCACAGCAGGGGTTGGTCGGGCTCTCACCCAGATTCTCTCCTCCGCACTCAGCTCTGTGTGGAAGTGGAGCATTCCAACGCTCCCAAGTGGACTCCTGATGAACCAGGGCTATAAATACACCCCAGCTCCGCGGCTGACGCTGCTCTCCTCCAGAAATAGCTGGAGGCCAGGCTGGCCATGGACACTGCTGCTGCTGCTGCTCCCGCCTGCCTGCGTCCCGCTGATGACAGAGCTCCCCAGCTCCTGTCTCCAGTGGGATCACGCTCCTGGCACGGAGCTCGTGGGGTGAGTCAGGCTCCGTAAGGAGGGATGCCTGTGTTGGCAGTGCCAGGAGAGGATGGAAAGGGAAGAGCTCCTCTCGCATGCTCTGAAGCATCAATAGCTTGCCATAGAATGATGGAATGCCAGGTTGGAAGTGGGCTCGTGGATCATCTGGTCCAACCTTTCTTGGCAAAGAAAGCTTTTGCTGAAGCCCTTCTTGATGGAAGAAAGTTCTTTATCCTGGAACAACCTCCCCAGGGATGCAGTGGAGTCCCTGGAGGGTTCTGGGACACGGCTGGACGTGGTGCTGGGTAACCTCATCCAGGCTCCCATTGCCATGGCAGGTTGGACCCGATGAACTTCCAAAGTCCCTTCCATCCCGTCACTCCAGGACTGGTTTGTCTGGGAAGTTCAAGGGGCAGGTTCACTGCCACCCGGGTCAGCCACATGGAGTTTGTGTCCCGTGTGTCTTGGTTGATGTCAAGGCAAAGGGGGGGGGTTGGAGCAGCTGCCTGCATCCCCTCACCCTTGGGATGGTTTTCAGCCCCTTCCTCGTCCCTGCACTGCTTGGGGTGCACATTACAAAGCACCCCCGGAGCCAGCCCATCGCTCTCCCCTGCTCCTTTGCTCTATGCTTTAGCTGAGGAAGGCTGGACCAGATGATCCTCGAGGTCTCTTCCAACCTGGGCTTCTGTGATCTCTGCCCACTGGCCTTCAGCCTCCAGCATGATCACAGTGGACACCACGTCTCTGCCACCTCACAGAGCAAAATGCACCCCATGCTCAGCTCCAATGAACCTGGGATGCTGCTCCACTCATCCTGCACAAGACAACGCTGTGGCCATAGCAAAAGCTCCTGGAAAACAGGCTGAAAGCCTGGGAGAAATGGGAATGCCAAAGGAGAAGAGCCATGCCAGGAGTGCTTCACACTGAGCCTGTTTACATGACCCAGACCACCGGGTATCGCTGACAGCTACCAGTTAGAGCTGAATGGCTGCCAAAACTCTCCTTGCATCCCGGAATCCCCGGTTATCCCGGTTTCTGGTAAGATCTGATGGGATTTCACTGCCAGTTCTTTGTTGTCTCTGAGCAAAGAGCCTGCATGGGCTCCGGGTGAGCCCTGCACCCTGCCCTTGCCCTAAAGGACCAAGCCTGAAGGTGGAAGAGGGCAGGCGGAGTGGATTTTACCCGTTATTATGATAAATTACGGGTCACTCCATGTTTTTACAAGCTGTTTCACCTCAGTTTGCATCTCAGTAGGAAAAAAGCCACCGGAGAGCTCGCTCTCACCCTGGCAGCATCACGGGTCCGGCGTCCCCACAAGAGCCCCGGCTCACCTGGCTCCTGCGTGCTGTTGCCCCCGTCCCTCCTGCAGGAGGTGCACAGGGTGTCGTGGTACTGGTTGCCCTCCACGTTGACCACCTTGCCCTGCTGCTCGCAGTCCTGGTGGGGCTGGCACGGCTCCGTGCTGGAGGCCGAGGAAGAGAAGAAGCCCCGGGGGCAGGCGCTGCACTGGGTGTTCTCAAAGGGGGTACCTGTGAATGGGGAGGGAAGGGGATGTCAGTGGGCAAGGAGCAGGGGATGATGCCAGCGGGGTGCCTGGCACCATTGAGCATTTGGGAGGGGGGATAACAGAGCAATCAGTTCTTCCCCAGAGCAATCAGTGCCTGCAATCACTGCCTGCAATCACTGCCTTCAATCGCTGCCTGCAATCACTGCCTGCAATCACTGCCTGCAGTTCCCCTGCGAAGCGTGTGCAAACAGCAGCGTTTGAATCTCCCACCCCAAAGCACTTGGCACACGCTGATAAAGGGGCACCGGTGCCCAGAGCCAAGAGGAGAACCCCTCTGCCACCGAGGGGAGCTGCCTCCCGGGCCGGAGGCACCCGACGGGCGGCTGAGCCGGGTGCCAAAGCAGCCTTTGATTCACAGCGGAGTCAGGAGGCTCCCGGCCAAGTGAAAGTAAAAGGCAGGCAGGAGGTGAAAGCTGCTGCTTCCCATCATCGGGCTCGGGGCCAGACCCGCTCCTGTGTCACAGGGACAGGGCCACGCGAGCCCGATTGCACCAGGGCACGTTCCCTATGAGATGGGAATGGCGCTGGTTCACACCCCTTGCATCTCCTCTTCATCCACCCCGTGAAGAACGAGGGTTCTGCCTTGTCACAACCCCATAGCTTTGGCTTTACCAGAGCCCCAGTGCTCAGGGCTGTGTTTGCAGGTAGGAGAGCCAGGATAAAGCCTGTGCCCCACAAAGGAACTGCACGTGGGTCAAAGCACCCATCCAAGCCGTGCTGCAGGGACCCCATCATCCCCATCCAGACACGGGCACTCACAGCTCTGCTCACACGGTGTGCTAGGTCCTTGCTGGGTGTTGAGGGGTCTGGGCTGGGGCATCGTTCCCAATGCAAAGCCATTTGTGGAAAATGAATTAAACCCACCAAAGATCCAGCTTCTCCTCATAGGTCCCTTTTGGCTCCTCAGTCCTACAGCCAGATTTGATGGTTCATTTCAAGGGGCTTCCCTGCATCACTTGCAGACCTACTTCACCTCTCCTGCATTACTGCATTTCATACAGCTGCATCCCACAGCATAATTATAAGCATCAGCTGAAGACCACAGGTATTTCTCCTCTGGCCTGTGAGCCTGGAGTGCTTCAGCACACATGGAAGGGCTTCAAAAGCCTCCACATTAAAGCACGAAGCAAGGTAATGCTGGTTGTGCCACCGCTGCCCACACTGGTTTATTGTTGTTACACCAGGCTGTGGTTTTGAGGCAGAGCCCGGTCCTGGGTGAGAAGGAAACCACTCGCAGGCAACTTGTGTGTTTAGAAAGCTTGAATGGGGACAAGCAAGGGACCAGGTGAATTTGTGCTGGGCAATCAATGGAGAAATAACCCCCATAAAACCCCCTGTGATTTGCACCTCTACAGGGGATGCAGTCTTGGACTTAGGAATCTCCCCAAGCCATGAATCAAAGCAAGGCTGATTCGATGCTCTTGGAACCTGAGTGTGTCCATGTTTCAAATGCAGCCTCTCCAAACTGCTCAGTAAAACCCACAAACCCCAGCCCCAGAGGTACCCAAATCCACCAGCCCTGCCCTGGCCTCATCAGAGCCTTTTCCAGTCTGGATTATCAGGAGCAGGGGGCTGATGGAGGAGCAGGAGCCGCTCAGACCTTTCCACCCATGGTGAGCACTGGCAGGGTGACCTGCTCCTGCAGGATGGGGGGATCCAACTCTGCAAGGAACCAGGATCACCCCCTCCCATCCGAGTGTGCTGCTGGGGGATTTCACAGGCGTTCAAAGCAAAAACAGGGGAGAAAAAAAGCAAAGAATCACTGCTTTGAGAAGAAGCCAGGAGCAGCTTCATGCACCAGCAAGGACAGCAGCACACCGGTGAGCAAGAAGAGAGTAGCTCAGGCTATGGACTATAGAAAGAGCTGCTCTATTCCTCTCTGATTTTCAGCTCCAGCAGAGATGCGGGGATGCGACAAGAGCCCCCGGAGCACGCACACAGAGGTACTCACCCCGCTTCTCCACGCCGAAGCCCGGCGGACACTTGGAATGCTGGGTGCAGAATTCCATCTCGGAGTAGTATCCATCCTGGCACTGGCAGACGCGGTTGTGGGTGGCGTTGCACTGCTGCACCTCCACCTGCCTCTCCCCGCAGATGACGTTGCAGTAGCGGCACTTGTCCAGGTAGTTCCAGTACTGCGTGTAGTGCAAATCCGGGCAGGGCTCGCACCGCGTCGGCCTGTCCCTGGTGCAGTGCTGGGCCATGAAGGTGCCCGGTGGGCACCGCTGGCACGTGAGCTGCTCGTTGGATGCAGCATCTCTCCATTGGTAAACGTGTTGGGTGCTGCAGCCGAGCCGGGCCAGGAGGAGGAGGAGAGGGGCGAACATCCACTGCAGCAAAGACAGCACAGAGAGCCCTTAGCGCATCCTTTCGTAGAGGGAGAAGCAGCAAAGGCGACGGCTGCACCACAGAGGTGCTCACTGGTGTAGCTACAAGGAATTATTCTCTCACCTCAAGCTCTCCCAGCCCCAGGGGTAAAGCAGGGACCAGACGCTGCCCTCCATTGCTTCCCCATCAACCCCTCTTGCTGCTCCAGGTGACAAAGCATCCTTCCCAAACGCTGCTTCCCAAGCCCATTTTGTGCCACCTACACAACCCGATTGCCCTCTCTCAGTACTAAAAGCAGCTCCAGCGCATTCCCCTCTTTTCATCCCAGTCAATCCCCCAGCATTTGGGCTAAGCAAAACCTTGGCAGAAGTTTCCCAAACAGCAGATACATTGCATGCTCCAGAGGGACTCTCAATGCTTTTGACATCCAGATACCCAGTGTAAGACCAGAGAAACCCAGAGCCGTGTTTATCCCCCCTTCTCAGAGCACGTGTGTCCAGACTTAAGAACAGACAATACCTTACCTTGGATGGATACCTTAAATTCGGCCTGTGGCGAGATAACAGCATGGCACAGAGGACTTCTGAGCGCCGGGAGCTGCGTGTGGCTGCACAGTGGGTTCCTAAGGGGCTGGGGCTGGCTCCGAGGGCAGCGGCTGGGCTCTGCCGATCCCTCCTGCTTCAGAACAGAAAGAGCGAGAAGGGCTGTGAGGAAACGCTGCATTTCCCCGTCTGCATCCCAGAAACCCTCCCTCCGAGGACGGTACGGGCTCTCCGCAGCCCGGGCACCGCAGCAGCCTCTTGCAAGCGCGGCTGAGAACCGGCTCGTCGGTGGGAGCCTGCGACCGAGCTCCTGCCGCACGCATCGCGCTCGGGGGAGGCGGATCAGCACCGGAGCAGGCGGGACTCACACGCTGCGGCCAAGGAGGGAGCAGAAATGGGCCCATCCCACCGCATCTCATCCCATCTCATCCCATCCCATCCCATCCCATCCCTCACCGTGCGCGCTGCGCCGATCCCCTGCGCCCAGCGGCACTTTTATTGCCTCAGCCCACGGGAAAGACCCTACTTGCGCAAGCGGCCGCGACGCCCCGGCCCCGGCCCCCCCCCGCCCCGCTCCGCTCCCCTGCGGCCCCGCAGCCGTCCGCACGCTGCCTGCGCTCCCTTCCTGCCTCCGCTCACAGGCAGCAGCGCGGTGAGGGTTGGATGCGGCTTTGGTCCCGTCCCCCCTCTCCGAGCACGCTGTGTTCCCTGTAAGCGTTAAACAAGTTCCCAGCGCCGGCGCTTGCCTCTGGACCGGGCACGTTTTGCCCCCGGCCGCAGCCCCAGAGGTGCCGGTTCTGAGAAGAGCGCAAACCCCCTGCGGCAGCGCACGGGGAGGCACCGACCCCGCTGACCCAGCCCCGCTCCGGAGCTTTGGCATCGGCGTTGCTGCAGGATCCCTGCAGGCATCAGAGCCTCAACTTTCTCCTTTCGGGAGCACGGAGGACATCAACCGAGGTCCCTCTTGCGGGTAACGCCATCCAGGAGCTGGTGCCAACAGCACAGGGGGTAGTTTTCCATAAATCCGGGACCCCAGTTGTCAGTGGAAGCTGAATTCAGCCGTACACGTGCGTGCTTATCGGGGCAGGAGTGCATCTAGCAGTGCATCTGCTTAAATACATCAGCTGCACGCACCTTGTCTTCTGCCCTGGCTCACCGGATTCCCTCTGAAGGCAAGGGAATAATCCAAGGGCTCCTCCGGGAAGTGGTCCCTGTGCTGGGAAGGCACCACTCGTGTCCAGCCTCCGCGGCTCCAATCCCTCTGTACCGCAAGGACAAGGAGGAAAAGGCACAGAATTCATCTGCTCTTTAGTGTAATAGCAGGAGAGCTCTGCAGTGAGCCTGAAAACCAGCCAGGCACCATCTCTGCCAGCAGGAATGGTGCGAAGAAGGCGAAAGCTGGAGCCAGTTCCAAATAGCTCAAATAGCTCAGCTTTTTCCTTGGGTTTAACCTTTCCAGTCATGGAAGAGAAAGAGAAGCACCTACAGAGAAATCACACCCTGACACAGGGCACTCAGCTGGGGAATGGGATGGGGTTTGTACTGCACCCCCTTCATGCCATGGTTTGCCACCTTCACCTGTGAAAAGGGCAGGAGAATGAGATGTGATCATAGACTCACACTTAGTGAATCTCTTGGGCTGGAAGGGACCTTAAAGCTCCTCCAGCTCCATCCCCTGCCACGGGCAGGGACACCTTCCACTGGAGCAGCTTGCTCCAAGCCCCTGTGTCCAACCTGGCCTTGAGCACTGCCAGGGATGGGGCAGCCACAGCTTCTCTGGGCACCCTGTGCCAGCGCCTCAGCACCCTCACAGGGAAGAGCTTCTGCCTCAGAGCTCACCTCAGTCTCCCTCCCCATTCCCCACACGTAGAACTGCACACACATTCAGTTTGTGTAAGTCTGGACTCTGCTGTGTGCTGGGAGTCCCAACCCCACAAGCGGCCACCTTTGCATCTCTCAGAGCTGTTACAGACGTGACCGAGCTGTGGGCCTGGACTGCAATCCCATAGAGCAGGATGCGTCTCCTTTCCGAGACCTGGGCTCCTGCTGCCCTCATCTCTCAACATTCAGTGTTCCCAAATACTCTTTCCACACTTGTTCCCTCCAGCTGCAGTCACATCCATCACATTAATACTGCCCCATACACACAGCCTAGGCACAAACCTCTTGTTTGCCTTGCAGGTATCCTGAAGAGCAGGATGTGATGTACCTCGAGATGGGCACGGGGAAACAGAGCTCACCCCCACCAGCAGCCCCAAGGATGCGGCAGCATCTCCCTCTCTGAGGGGCTCTGAACAGGCATTTGGGAAGGGGCAAAACCAGATCACACACCCAAAACTGAAATGCAGTCTCTGGGAAGGCAAAGGAGTAACATTGAGGAGGTGAGAGGATGGGGAGGTTTCCGTTACAATGAGTTTACATCTGAGCCTGTTAACACCAGAACCAGCCTCTCACCTCCAGCTCTCACCCACTGGATCTGCAGCCAGTGAATCCCTTGGACTTCATTATTAACCCTGTGAAAGAGCAAACCAGGTTGACAAAGAAAGAAACTCAAACCCCGTTTTCTGCTACCCAGCAGCAGAAATAAACCCTGATGGTCAGAAGGAATCCAAAGCTTCCTCCCCTACCAAGCTCAGTTTCTACCCATCACCGCCAAAGAAAAACCTCTCTCAGGAGTCAAAGGGGGCTGACAGCACAACCTGGGCTGTGCTCAGGTGAAGGGCTGATGTGCACAGGCCACTCTACAGTGGGTTTTAGCTTTCCTGCTGGTTTACCCGCATCACTCATAGCCCTCCAGATGTGTAACACTCTTGAACATCATTCCCGAGCTAAGGACCGCTGGGGCTTCGCATCACCACTGTGCATCATCCCACTAACTAAATGAACCAGTTGATCTCCCTGGGACTGGGCAGGGCCTCTTGAGGGCATCTCTTTGGGGTGAAACTTGCCATTAGCCTGAGTCAAGCCCAAGGCCCTCCACCACAGCCCCCTGGCACTCTCCCCAGCCACACCAATGGCTCAGAGCACCCCGGGGTGCCACAGCAGCACATTCCCTTTCCTGGCAGGCAGAAAGCTCATCTCGGTGTTGCTAGCATGGGTTTCACGTGGTTCCTTCACCCGTTCATCAGCCCAGCTGCTGACACATCCAGACTTTTCCAAGAAGCTGCAACAGAAACCGGGTCATCCAGGCCTTTGGCAACCGTGTGGGTCGGCTGAAGTGATGAGCAGTCACACTGGGATGCTCATAGAAGGGTTACTGAAAGAATTGATCTCAATGGCTTCATTTTCGCTCTGTCACCCTCAGCATTCTGCTCAGACTGAAGGCAAAGCACTTCCCCTTGTAGAGGAAGCCACAAGATCTCCAAGGCAAATGCAGGAGGCATATGCTGGGTGCCACCTTCCCATGCGGTGGGGCCCCGCTGTAGGACGAGGCACTCCTGTATCATACAGGATCAAATGGGATGGTTTGTGTTGGAAGAGACCTTAAAGCCCATCCAGTTCCAACCCCTGCCACGGGCAGGGACACCTTCCACTAGAGCAGCTTGCTCCAAGCCCCTGTGTCCAACCTGGCCTAGTACCCAAAGCAGTATCCCACATCCGGGTAACCACTGGGATGGGTGCAATACACTGGGAAACTTGAAGTAAGCAGCAACTCACCATGAAACCATCATTAAAACCATCAGTTGATTTTGGTCTGGGTTTAATAATGCTAAAGATGTGTCAGATTTGTATACTTAGAGACTGAAACATCCCATCAATGGAGCTAAGGGGCTTCCATGGGCACTCTCTGCCTCCCAGAATCTGGCACAACAACCACCTTCCATTCATCTCCTTCTGTCCTTTTCCTTGCCCAACAAACCCCTTGGAATGGGTTCGCACCAGAAAGCCACAACTCAACCCTCTACCGAGTCCTGCAGAGGTAGCTCAGGAAAGGAATTCAGCATCCCATCCCCATGGCTCTCATTTCACTGCCCCACACAGAGCAGCGCTTCACCCTCCCAAGGGCTCTTCCAAAACACTCTGGTAAAACCAGGTTTCCCCTAAATAGCCATGGAAAACCACTGAAAAGCAGAGAATTGCTCACGGATCCAAGACAGGGATGGTCTCCTTCCCGATGGAACAGCCCCTTTGTTATTGTTGGTCTCTTTCCCAAGTCTACATAGGGGGAAAAACAGTGGGAAAAGCTTTTCAAATGACACACCACTAAAACTGGAAGCAGCGCTCCAGGTAGAGTCATAGCACTGCAAGGCAGAGGCAACAGAGAGAGATTAAGCCCCACTCCCTCCATGATGTGGAACCCATGTGTCATTTGCTTCCCAAATCAGCAAGGAGTGTCCCTCATCGGTTTTCCTCTCCCCGAGTGTTGGGTTCTCTGGATCAGCTCCTCTGACCACTCGGAGCGACGCAGGCTGCAATGAAACACCCCTGGTCCTCATTGCCTTCATACATAACGCACCAGCTGCCTCCCCTGCTTCTAAATGCAGCTGGGTGCCGGAGGACAGAGGCTTCCCATCTGCAACGCATCCTGATGACCCGCTCCGGGACCCCTTTCCTTCAAGGCTTCCTTGGAAGCAGCTGTACTGCCGGGATGAGGGGAGGAAGCAGCACTCTAAACACATTTAGGAGCATCCCGAGGTCAGGGAAGATGCGGTGACGTTTGTCGTTACGAGGAGCTCAACGTTTCCTTGGAAGATGGGCAGAGGAAGCGTGGTCCATTGGGAGCACAGTGCTCAGATACTGCGCGGGGGCTGGAATGCGAGGACCGGGAAGGGTGACCCCAGGTTGGGGAACGCTGCTGCTGGGGGTTGGCCGTAAAGCAGGGAAGGATGGCTCAGCACAACCGCCCTCCTAACAGGCAGTGGAGTTGCTGTTCAGTGACACCAAGTGATCTGCAAGGGTGGGTCTGAGACCTGCCCTCAGGTTCACAATTCCTTTGGGTTTACAGCAAACCCTGGCCAAGGACAATCCCATACAGCAGCCTGTCTGCTCCTCACTGGCCAGGACAATCCCATACAGCAGCCTGTCTGCTCCTCACTGGCCAGGACAATCCCATATAGCAGCCTGTCTGCTCCTCACTGGCCAGGACAATCCCATATAGCAGCCTGTCTGCTCCTCACTGGCCAGGACAATCCCATATAGCAGCCTGTCTGCTCCTCACTGGCCAGGACAATCCCATATAGCAGCCTGTCTGCTCCTCACTGGCCAGGACAATCCCATATAGCAGCCTGTCTGCTCCAATCCCATACAGCACTGGCCAGGACAATCCCATATAGCAGCCTGTCTGCTCCTCACTGGCCAGGACAATCCCATATAGCAGCCTGTCTGCTCCTCACTGGCCAAGGACAATCCCATATAGCAGCCTGTCTGCTCCTCACTGGCCAGGACAATCCCATATAGCAGCCTCCCTGCTCCTCAGCCCCATATAGCAGCCTGTCTGCTCCTCACTGGCCAGGACAATCCCATATAGCAGCCTCCCTGCTCCTCACTGGCCAAGGACAATCCCATATAGCAGCCTGTCTGCTCCTCACTGGAAGGGACAATCCCATATAGCAGCCTGTCTGCTCCTCACTGGCTGAGACAATCCCATATAGCAGCCTGTCTGCTCCTCACTGGCCAGGACAATCCCATACAGCAGCCTGTCTGCTCCTCACTGGCCAGGACAATCCCATATAGCAGCCTGTCTGCTCCTCACTGGCCAAGACAATCCCATACAGCAGCCTCCCTGCTCCTCACTGGCCGGGACAATCCCATACAGCAGCCTGTCTGCTCCTCACTGGCAGGGACAATCCCATATAGCAGCCTCCCTGCTCCTCACTGGCCAGGACAATCCCATATAGCAGCCTCCCTGCTCCTCACTGGCCAGGACAATCCCATATAGCAGCCTGTCTGCTCCTCACTGGCCAGGGCTGCAGCAGCTTGCCTTTTGTTTTAAACTGATGGGCACAACTTCATCAAACCTCACCAGGAGAGGTCAGGAACACAGAGCTGTTAAACCCTGCTGTTCAAACTAGAGCTAAGTGATGAGCAGGTGAGCCAAAGGACAACCCCTGCAGGCTGGATGCTCTCCCATCCAGACCCATCCACATCTGCATCCACCCATCCTACCCGAGAGACACCGGCAGCAGGGATGCAGGCTTCGGAGCTGCCGCGCTGTGGTCCCCACCGCACCAGGAACCAGCAACGGATCCAGAGCGATTCCAACTGAATTCCACGGCCCATTCAGTGATGGGGATACGGCAGCACTTCAGAGCCTGGGGGCAGTTACTGAAGGCACCTTCCCAGGTAGGAGCGGTCTCCAGAGCTAAACCAGCTCCAGCAGCAAGGGGAAAGCACAGGCAGGAAACTATTCCAGCTGAGGGGGAAAAGAACGGAATAACGTTTGTCCCATCAGATGACACGTACCTCTGTAAGCGTTTCATGCAGTCGGGCTGGATCCAACAGCATCCCTGCAGCCCATGGCAGGTGATTTCCAACAGGGAAACCTGAACAACGCCATCACTGCTGCCTCTCGAGGTGTTCAAAGCTCATGGCCCGTGCTGGGGTTTCCCTCCAGCGGCCCAAACAGAAGCTGCAGCTCTCCCCAGGGAGCGATCTTCACACAAGAGACAAGGCACTGAACCGTCTTTATCACTGAACAGTGTTTTACTGCTCCCAGCCTTCCCCTTCCATTGCCTGCCCAGGCTGAGAACTGAAAGCCAGCATCCAAGAGATGGGATCTGCTTGGAAGTAACCGTGAGGCTTCATCCCACAAAGAGAATCCAAATCCCTCCAAAGCCACCAACTGCAAAGCATCGGCATTAGGCCAAAGCTGCTCCCCCTGTGAGCATCTTTTTCTCTATAGGAGCTTCTGTAATGCTCTATTGGCTGCTGTGCTGGTTAAAAATGGGAAAGGGAACTAATGATGATGAACCCTCAGGGCATAACCTGCAGAAATGGAGCCTCAACAGGGTTGACAAATCGAATCAGGCACCTTTCAGGAGGTGCTTTGGGTTGGGGGAACAAAGCTGCCTTCCATGATCCTGGCATGACCTCACTCCAAACCGTGGTGTTCCCATCATCAAACCCAATGCAGTCTGCACGCTACAACACTCCATGTCCTTTTGAAGAACAAGCGTTTAACACTATTGCCTCCTTGAGACCATTGATCCAAACCATCTGCTGTTCAGCTCTATACATACAATCATGGAACAGTTAGGGTTGGAAAGGACCTTAAGATCATCCAGTTCCAGCATCTATACAATAGACTGTGCTGGAATTTGTCCTACCTACACTGCAAATCTCCAGTGCTTCCTCTGCATCATTTTGTCTTGTCTTCAGGACCTAAACCCCTATGAGGAGTGGATATGTGGATAGAAGGCAAAATTCACTCACAGGTTTAAATGTCAGGATATACATTGGCCCCAAATGACCTTAATCCTTCTATAAATGGCTGTCATTTCTAATTATTAGCTTATAAAGCACAGAAAGCTCCCATTTCACACAAAACCACCACTTCTCTTGTTCTGCAGATAGCAAGCCCAGACCTGGAGACACACACACGCATTTATCCAATACTTCAGTGCTTAAGAGGCACAGTATCTCTCATTCTTTCATTGTCCAATGGATTCCAAACTGGAAAACAAAACATCTCAATGAGGACCAATATCCAGCAACT